ATAATAACACGCTAGTCGCTTTAGACGCGTAGTTAATAATGTTATCTTCTTAAACTCGGGTGCACATTTATGTGACCCAAATCCAAATCTCAACGGAGTGGAAATGTGCCAACAACCACGGGTGCATTGATGTGACGTGGTTCGAGATGTATTTTCACGATGTTGCAATTCTCGGTAAAAATGATAATAATAAAAGCGGTACACAGTTAAAATTTGCACACAGGTTCAACATGTATCAAAATCAGATAAATAAGCCGAATATGACAGTTGAGCGACCGTGCTAGAACCACGGAACTCGGGAATGCCTAACACCTTCTCCCGGGTTAATAGAATTCCTTACTCGGATTTCTGGTTCGCGGACTGTTATACAGAGTCAATCTTTTCCTCGATTCGGGACCCAACCGGTGACTTGGGACACCATAAATCTCCTAAGTGGCGACTCTAAATTAAATAATAAATCCCGTTTCGATTGTCCTTTAATTGGAAAAACTCCCTCTACGCCCTTTTGCGCGGCGCAGGTGAAAAAGGAGGTGTGACAAAGATAATTATGAGGATAGAGATAGGAACCAGTTCTGAAATAGTGGTAGTGCTTGGGGAGTTGCAACGTTTCAGAGGGAGATGGAAAGGATTTGAAACGAAAAGACGTGACGGCAGAGTCTGAAAAGGTGGATAACGTGGAATCTGATATTTGTACCTTTTCAAGATGTGTATTAAAGAATGTATAGGACTACTAACCTTTAGTACAAGGACCAGGTTCTTGACCTGATTTTTGAAAATTTTCAATCCTCTTTCACCACCCATGCAATGCATCTACAACTTCTTCCTTAAGAAATCCATTCAAAAATGCACTTTTGACATCCATTTGGAACAGAGTGAATTCCGTATGTGATGCAAAAGCGATTAGGATTCTAATAGCTTCCATGCAAGCAACTGAAGCAAACGTCTCATCATAATCAATTCCTTCCTCCTGATTGTAACCTTGAACCACTAGCCTAGCCTTGTTCCTTGTAGTGTTTCCATGTTCATCAAGCTTATTTCTGAATACCCACCTGGTTTCTATGATGGTTCTATCTGAGGGTCGAGGTACCAGGTGTCATACATTGTTCCTTTCAAACTAATGCAACTCATCTTGCATGGCTTTAATCCAGTTTGCATCATTCAAGGCCTTCTTGATGTTCTTGGGTTCTATTTTGGAAAGAAAGGCTGAAAAGGTAAGTGAATTTCCGGCTTTTGATCGAGTTTGAACACCTGAATCTAGATGGGTAATTATGTTGTCAAGAGGATTGGAACTGTTGTGTTTCCAGTTGGGCATTTGAAGTTCATTTGCAGAGGAGCTGGGTAAATCTGACTGGTTCCCTTGCATTCTTCTCTCAGCTACCTGTGGGGTACATTGAACTGCATCAACCACTCTTTTGTCAGCTTCAGTGGTTGTAATTGGGGTACCTGGTTCCCCTCCAACTAGTGAGGATAATACTGAATTATCTTTACTTGATTTCTTCACCTGACTCATCGTGTCTACCTTTCCGTTTGTCATGTTAATGACTTCACCTGGAACTAGCAGAGGCTCTCCATCTTGATCATCCTTGTTGCTTTTCTCATGGGAGGGATATGACTCATCAAAAATTACATGGACACTTTCCTCAACACACAGAGTCCGCTTGTTGTATATTTTATAGGCTTTGCCTTGAGAAGAGTAGCCCAAGAAGATTCCTTCATCACTTTTAGCATTAAATTTTCCAAGCTGATCCTTTCCATTGTTAAGAACATAGCATTTGCATCCAAATGTTCTTAGGTGAGTCAGCTTGGGTTTCCTTCCATTTAACAACTCATAGGGGTTTTGTTCAGAAGAGACCGGATCATGCACCTATTTACCAAGTAACATGCAGTGTTAACAGCTTTAACTCATAAGTTCTTGGCAATCCCACTGTCGATTAGCATTGTTCTTGTCATTTCTTCAAGGGTTCTATTCTTCCTTTTCATAACTTTATTTTGCTGGGGAGTTCTTGGTGCTGAAAAGTTGTGGGTAATGACATATTCATTACAGAACTCATCAAATTTGGCATTGTCGAATTCTATTCCATGATCTGATGTGATACATGCTACTCTAGACTCCATCTTCACCTGGATTTTCTTCACAAAAGGCCACGAATACCTCAAAGGTTTCATCTTTTGTTCTAAGAAATAGAGTCCAAGTGAATCTGAAGTAGTCATCCACTATCACAAAGATGTATCTTTTTCCTCCCATGCTTTGCACTCTCATAGGGCCACACATATCGATATGAAGAAAATCATGTGGCTTGGAGGTGCTGACATCTTTCTTAGGCTTAAATGAGGACTTAACATACTTCCCTCTAGCACATGCATCGTAGACTTTCTGTTCTTTGAACTTTGACATAGGCAGACCACGAACCAGGTCCTTTTGAATCAGCTTATTCAATAGAGAAAAGCTTGCATGCCCCAATCTTCTGTGCCACATTTTAGCATCATCATCAACTACTTTCAAGCAACTCAGATCACCACTTTGTAGAGACTCGAAATCAGCAACATAGATGTTCTTGTATCTTTTCGCCACCAGTTACTAAACTTGTAACTATGCATATCTTGGACAAGAATTTCACCTTATTTCCCTTGTCACATATCTGGAAGACACTCAAGAGACTGTACTTGAGACCATTGACATAGTACACATTCTCAATTGAGTGAGTGAGTGACTTTCCAATTTTTCCAACACCAAGAATGTATCCCTTTTTTCCCATTTCCAAAAGATACACTCCCTCCCTATTCCCTGCCTGTTACCACCATTATTAACATGCATGGCAGTGACAACCTCCGAGAACCAGGTCCACTTAAGTGACTTCTCAAGATTATTTTTTTACTCTCTCCAGTTCAGCGTGGAGCTGCCTAGTTTTCTCAAGTTCATCACACAAATTACTTTTCACAGCTTTTAATTCATTTTCAAGCTTAATGTGTGTCTCACTAGCTACTTCTTTCCTCTTTTTTTTTTCTGACTTCCCAGGCCTACACTCAACTCCAGGTTGCTCTATTTTTTCCCTTAAGTCTGCATTTACTATTAAGAGATCATCTCTTTCCTGCTCAATAGCAGTTACTTTCTCCACTAAGGCATCCTTTTCTTTACTGAATTTCTCAATGGTTTCTTTCAAGTCAACTACTACCACCACCCGATCATCTCTTTCATGTTCTACACTAGTAATTTTCTCAGTTAAAGCCTTCTTTTCATTTTCCAAATTATCTATAGTTTCCTTTAGATCAACCACACACACTACCAAGTCATCTCTGGTTTGCTCAGCATCTCCTAATTCTATGGTCAAGGTATCTTTATCATCTATAAAACTATAATGGGCATCAATCAATACATTTGCTAATGACATGAGTTTTTTAGGAGAGTAGGATTTTAGATTTCTCTGAACAACCCTAAAATTTACCTCATCATTGTCATCATCGTCTGATTGTGCCATCAAAGCAAATATTGAGTCATATTTATTTGCTCCACTTTCAACTGCCATCATAGAGCTATCACCTGCATCAATTTCTTCATCAGACTCACTGGAGAAATCTCCCCATGTTGCAAGAGCTTGTTTCATAACATTATCATCGACATTCTTTTTTTGAAGAGCTTGTCAGGAATCTGGTTCCTCTTGGCTGCTTTATCAGGGTTGTATTTGAAGTGTTCTTGCTTTAGGAGAGGACACTCTTTGATGAAGTACCCTGGATTTCCACATTTATGACAGAGGTCATAAATCTTTGGTCTACTAGAACTACCTCTCTTTGGTATTCCCCCATTTCTTCTGACCATTTTCTGAAATCTTTTGGTTAGGTAAGCCATATCACAGTCTTTCTCACTTGAGTTTTTTCCTTCAGCTTTGAGTACCAGGTTCTTCTCCTTCTTTGGTTCTCTTCTTTCACTATCTATCTTCTTCTTCATTTCGTAGGTTCTCAGATTTCCTACTAGCTCGTCTATGGTCAGCTCCTGCAAGTCCTTTGCTTCAATAATAACATTTACTTTGCTCTCCCATGAACTAGGATAGATATTAAGAATTTTCCTCATGAGCTTGTTCCTGGGAATCGTTTCACTAAGTGAGTGTAACTCATTTATGATGGAAGTGAATCTTGTTTGCATGTCTTGGATAGATTCATCATCTTTCATCCTAAATAGCTCATACTCAGTGGTAATCATATCAATCTTGGATTGCTTTACTTGAGTGGTTCCCTCATGTGCTGTTTGCAAAGCTTCCCATATCTCCTTGGCAGATTGATAAGCTGAGATCCTATTGTATTCATCAGGTCCTATCCCATATACCAAAATTTTCTTGGCACGAAAATTTTTCTCCACAGCTTTCCTATCTGCATCGGTGTATTCTTTCCTGGTCTTTGGCATTATCAAGGGAAGATCTCCGACATTCTTTGTTAGGACAAAAGGACCATCACATATGACATCCCACAACTTAGAGTCTTCAGCCATGATGAAATCATGTATTCTCGTCTTCCACCACCTATAGTATTGCCCATTGAACCTGGGTGGTCTGTACATAGATTGAACTTCTTCAAAATTTGGTGGAGCAACCATACAGATCCTTCTTAGGTGTTAGCCTGATAGGAGGAACCCGCTCTGATACTAATTGATAGTTTATATGAGTCCACCAAACTATAGAGTACCAGGTCCTCTATGAGTTTCTACTAAGAATACTAATAAGACAGTAAGTAAATAAGACAGGGAGTTTTACGTGGAAAAATCCTTGCTCAAGGGGATAAAAAATCATAACCTACACTGGTAGGATTTCAACTTCATTACCGAACAATCTTCAGATTACAACCTATTGTAACCTAGGAATTAAACTCTTAATCCCTCACTAACTTGTAATACTTATATTACAAGCCACTTTGTAATACACCTATTACAAAGACTTCAACTCATGACTAACTCTAGTCACGACACAAACACTAAGGGTTTATGATTTTACAAGAGGGTTCCTAAGCGACGCTTCTAGTTAAGCAAATTAGGAATTGCAATGAAGAACAATTATAAAGTTACAACTCAACTAAGGAGAACAAAATACTGGATCTAGGAACTAGTCTGTAGTAGTGTTTAAACTTTTTTCTTGATGCACTTGAGAATTGAATGCTAGAATATCAGATGGTTTGAATGTTTGAAGAAAATTCTCAAGTGTTCAAGTGATGTTTTATTGTAATGCTCTTGTTAATACAATTTGAATGACATCACTTGAATGATGTAATCACTTGGTTGGTCAAAGGACAAGTGACCGCTGGAACACTGCAGTGTAGGCAGTCACATCGCTTTCCAGCTGTATCCAATTGACTTCGTACTGTTGTCAGGGAACCACAAGGGTATCAGGTCTTTGTATTGGTTCTCTATCTCCCGAAGCTTGTAACAGTTCACATTTAGCTGGAGTCCGTTGATTAGCAATGTATGCCAAGTGTGTTGGGTTCCCTATCTGGTTCTTGACAGTCAGTTTGTTAGATAATCAAAACATAAGGCTAAGACATTGAAAACCCATCAATAATGAACTTGGATGCGCCCGACTTTGATACAATATAAGAAAATTAATCTTGGGTCTAACTCAAACTCAACCGCTAGTTCAATAGACTATCCTATCCCTAAAGAGCCGATAAATGGAACTCAACAAACAAGTCTCTAGAGCCAGCAAATTCCAAAAAGATTATAAATTCCTTTTTTTTTTTTTTTTTTTTTTTTTTTTTTTTTTTCTTTCTGGTAAATTAGTTCGTCTAAAGTTTATCTATTGATGAATATATATATTTGTGTTATTGGCGTAGGTGTAGAATCATGGGAAACGAGCAGTTAGCATATACTTTTTGGAGATTGTGTTTTCATTTATGTNTCAACGAAAGATTTAATCGGCCTTTGGCATCCAAACAGAGACAATATATGAAACAAAGGACATAAAATAAGAGAGGTTACTTTTAGTACTGATAGCTATTTAATATGCAATTATGCATACTTTAAGCTGATCTCAAAACAAAGCTAAACCTAAAGGACCTAGCTATTAACTTCTTCGTACTTAATTAGAGCAAAGAAGTAGTGGCAATCAACCATTTACCTACACTTATTCAACTAGTTGATATTTAATTTGTTAGTAAGAAAAGTAACAACCATATATTCCTAGAGATCAACCTCAACCATAACTTCCATGCCTCTCTAACTTACCTCTTAATTCCTAGTGTACTTCCAGTTTCTGCTTGTCTTCTAGTTCAACAACTTGTCTTTTTCTAAATAACTCTGCAGATTCCTCGTAGAACCAAATCTTAGAATTTTATCTAGTTTCCATTGGTTGGACTGTAGCTAGGTAGACTATTCTAACATCGGATCGCGTATTTGCTAGCTTCTTTATTGTTTGTACTGATTGGTGGAGATGTTACTCTAGTAGTAACTAGTAATAAATTTGCTTGTTTGGCTTTAGAGGATAGAGCATGAAATCAGTGCCTGATAATGAGGATAGTGTGCTCACATGAAAAGCACATTTTGCTGATAAAATTACCAAAAAAAGATTAGTTTGACGTATAAAGTAGGCCATGAAGAGTTTGAGAAAGATTGCACATAAAAGGTAGAGGCGGAGCTAGAGAAGTGGATACAGGTTCGGGCGAATCCAATAGTTTTTGCTTAGATTTTGTATTTGTATTAAAAATTTTACTAAATATTTAATTGTGAACCCAGTAACTAACACAAGCAATGGAGTCGATGACAATTTCAGAACTCATAAGCTTTAAATCTTGATTTCGCTTCTGCCTAAATGGTGTAATCTATATAGGCAGCCCTCTTCTTGAAGGGGCCTTTTCTTACATTACTTTCTCCAATAGTGATTAGCTTGAAAAAAAAGACTAATCGGGCGACAAAAAAAAAAAAAAAAAAAACAAAACATATATAGCCCACTTTATCACGCCGCATGTGAAAATA